AAAACGGGCCTGGCAGCAGCAATGGGAGGCCCTAATCTGCCAGCACCCTATGACAAAAAGGAACACACCAGCAAGTGTGAGGAGACCTGAAAGTGGCACATGGCAAGTGTGGCGATGGAGCAGCAGAAATGGGAGCCGTAAAGGGACCCATGAAAGACTACTGAACTTGGCAGCAGCATGAGGAGGCGGAACGGGGGCCCCATGGCAGATTACGGGCCGGGCAGCAGCAATGGAGGCCCGTAATCTGCCAGCACCCTATGACAAAATGGAAACACACCAGCAGTGTGAGGAGACCTTGAAAGGTGGCACATGGCAGAGTGTGGCGATGGAGAGACAGCAGCAATGGGAGGCCGTACAGGGACCCATGAGAGACTCTGGACCTGGCAGCAGCATGAGGAGGCGGTACGGGGCCGCATGGCAGATTACGGGCCTGGCAGCAGCAATGGGAGCCTCGTAAATCTGCCAGCACCCTATGACAAAATGGAACACACCAGCAGTGTGAGGAGACCTGAAAGTGGCACAGGCAGAGTGTGGCGATGGAGACAGCAGCAATGGGAGGCCGTACAGGGACCCATGATAGACTCTGGTGACTGGCAGCAGCATGAGGAGGTGGTACGGGGGCCCATGGCAGATTCACGGGCCTGGCAGCAGCAATGGGAGGCCCAATAATCTGCCAGCAAACCCTATGACAAAATGGAACACACACCCAGCAGTGTGAGGAGACCTGAAAGTGGCACATGGCAAGAGGGTGGCGATGGAGACAGCAGCAATGGGAGGCCGTACAGGGACCCATGAGACACTCTGGACCTGGCAGCAGCATGAGGAGGCGGTACGGGGGCCCATGGCAGATTACGGGCCTGGCAGCAGCAATGGGAGGCCCGTAATCTGCCAGCACCCTATGACAAAATGGAACACCACCAGCAGTGAGACGGAGACCTGAAAGTGGCACATGGCAGAGTGTGGCGATGGAGACAGCAGCAATGGGAGGCCGTACAGGGACCCATGAGCAGCATGACTACAGAATTACGGGCCTGGATCTGCCAGTCACCCTATGACATAACAACTGGAACACACCAGCAGTGTAGGAGACCTGAAAGTGGCACATGGCAAGTAGTGTAGGCGATCGGAAGACAGAAGCACATGGAACCGTGGATAGGGTACTGAGAGACTCTGGACCTGGCAGCAGCATGAGGAGGCGGTACGGGGGCCCATGGCAGATTACGGGCCTGGCATGCAGCAATGGGAGGCCCTGTAATCTGCCAGCACCCTATGACAAAATGGAACACACCCAGCAGTGTGAGGAGACCTGAAAGTGGCACATGGCAGAGTGTGGCGATGGAGACAGCAGCAATGGGAGGCCGTACAGGGACCCATGAGACACTCTGGACCTGGCAGCAGCATGAGGAGGCGGTACAGGGGCCCATGGCAGATTACGGGCCTGGCAGCAGCAATGGGAGGCCCGTAATCTGGCCAGCACCCTATGACAATGACAAAAAATGGAACCCACCAGCATGTGAGGAGACCTGAAAGTGGCACATGGCAGAGTGTGGCGATGGAGACCAGCAGCAATGGGAGGCCGTACAGGGACCCATGAGAAGACTCTGGACCTGGCAGCAGCATGAGGAGGCGGTACGGGGGGCCCATGGGCAGATTACGGGCCTGGCAGCAGCAATGGGAGGCCCGTAATCTGCCAGCACCCTATGACAAAATGGAACACACACCAGCATGTGAGGGAGACCTGAAGCAGACATGGCACAGTGTAAGCGATGGAGACATGGGGTACCCAGAGTGGGGGGGACCAGCAGCATGAGGAGGCGGTACGGGGCAGATTAATGGCAAGCACATGAGGCCCCTAATCTGCCAACCCTACAATACTTTCGGCAAGGAGGAAGTCCCACAGTGAGAGACAGTTCTGGACCCAAGGTTCAAGAGCAAACAAGGACACAAGAGGATTATCCAATAGATGAGGCAAAGTGGTTGTCCAGCATTATAGGTAGCTCATGGTAGATTACAGCCTGCACAGCAATGGGAGGCCCGTTTCAAGTCTGCCAGCACCCTATGACAAAAATGGAACACACCAGCAGTGTGAGGAACCTGAAAGTGGCACATGGCAGAGTGTGGCGATGGAGACAGCAGCAATGGGAGGGAGGGCCGTACAGGGACCCATGAGAGACTCTGGACCTGGCAGCAGCATGAGGAGGCGGTACGGGGGCCCATGGCAGATTACGGGCCTGGCAGCAGCAATGGGAGGCCCGTAATCTGCCAGCACCCTATGACAAAATGGAACACACCAGCAGTGTGAGGAGACCTGAAAGTGGCACATGGCAGAGTGTGGCGATGGAGACAGCAGCAATGGGAGGCCGTACAGGGACCCATGAGAGACTCTGGACCTGGCAGCAGCATGAGGAGGCGGTACGGGGGCCCATGGCAGATTACGGGCCTGGCAGCAGCAATGGGAGGCCTGTAATCTGCCAGCACCCTATGACAAAAAATGGAACACACCAGCAGTGTGAGGAGACCTGAAAGTGGCACATGGCAGAGTGTGGCGATGGAGACAGCAGCAATGGGAGGCCGTACAGGGACCCATGACAGATTCGGGCCTGGCAGCAGCATGAGAGGCGGTACGGGGGCCCATGGCAGATTACGGGCCTGGCAGCAGCAATGGGAGGCCCGTAATCTGCCAGCACCCTATGACAAAATGGAACACACCCAGCAGTGTGAGGAGACCTGAAAGTGGCACATGGCAGAGTGTGGCGATGGAGACAGCAGCAATGGGAGGCCGTACAGGGACCCATAGACACTCTGGACCTGGCAGCAGCATGAGGAGGCGGTACAGGGCCCATGGCAGATTACGGGCCTGGCAGCAGCAATGGGAGGCCCTAATCTGCCAGCACCCTATGACAAAATGGAACACACCAGCAGTGTGAGGAGACCTGAAAGTGGCACATGGCAGAGTGTGGCGATGGAGACAGCAGCAATGGGAGGCCGTACAGGGACCCATGAGACACTCTGGACCTGGCAGCAGCAGCATGAGGCGGTACGGGGGCCCATGGCAGATTACGGGCCTGGCAGCAGCAATGGGAGGCCCGTAATCTGCCAGCACCCTATGACAAAATGGAACACACCAGCAGTGTGAGGAGACCTGAAAGTGGCACATGGCAGAGTGTGGCGATGGAGACAGCAGCAATGGGAGGCCGTACAGGGACCCATGAGACACTCTGGACCTGGCAGCAGCAGCATGAGGAGGCGGTACAGGGGGCCCATGGCAGATTACGGGCCTGGCAGCAGCAATGGGAGGCCCGTTAATCTGCCAGCACCCTATGACAAAATGGAACACACCAGCAGTGTGAGGAGACCTGAAAGTGGCACATGGCAGAGTGTGGCGATGGAGACAGCAGCAATGGGAGGCCGTACAGGGACCCATGAGAGACTCTGGACCTGGCAGCAGCATGAGGAGGCGGTACAGGGGCCCATGGCAGATTACGGGCCTGGCAGCAGCAATGGGAGGCCCGTAATCTGCCAGCACCCTATGACAAAATGGAACACACCAGCAGTGTGAGGAGACCTGAAAGTGGCACATTAACATGTTTGGGGCATGATTCATGGCGGATTTAGTCAGTTGTGTCAGGAACTGGTGGTTTGAAATCCAGACTAATCCACGCCTGATTCATTTTCACAAACGTGAGTCTCTCCACACTTTGGGTGGACAGTCGTGTCCTCCGCGGAGTTACAATACCTCCTGCCGCACTAAACACGCGCTCCGATGCCACGCTACTGGCCGGGCATGACAGCCTTTCAAGGGCAAATTCAGCTAGTTGGGGCCAAAGGTCAAGTTTCGTTGCCCAGTAGTCAAGGGGATTGTCTACCTCGGTTGGCAGGGTGCTGTCCAAGTAGGCCCAAGCCTGTTGTTTGAGGTCCTGCTCCAGGTCCACCTGATGCTGCTGCTGCTGCGGCTGGTTAGTAGTTTCCTCACTGCGCTGGTGAAGAAAGCTACTCATCATCGACTGCAGACTGAGGCAGCCGCTGCTGGTGGAGCTGCCACTGCTCCTACCACCCCACCCCTCCCCTGCTGCCATGGCAGCGGAACGCGAGCGCACAGGGCCCACAGTGTCTGAGGATGGACGTTGGCGCAGAAAGGCAGAGACCAACTGACTACATAGGTGGTTTTTATAGTACGTTATTTTGGCCTCCCTCTCAGCAGGTGTGAAAAAGGCCACCATTTTTGAACGGTAGCGAGGGTCCAACAAGGTGGACAGCCAAAAGTCATCCCTCTGTCTGATGGTTATTATTCGGCTGTCGCTACGCAAGCAACCGAGCATGCTATGGGCCATTTGTGCCAAGGAATGCGAGGGACTCCCTGCCTCCATCTCCACAGCATACTGCCACGGTGCGTCTGGGTCCTCTGTCTCCTCCTCCTCCTCTCTACCAGATGCTCCTGCTCCTCCACTCCTGTCCGCTGAGTGGAAAAACCACCCATTTCACTCAATAATTCCTGAGCACAAATGTCCTCCTCTACCTCCTCCTCTTCTTCCTGTCCTGCCCCCCACAGGGGTCATGTGGCGTTGAGATCTGTGCGCCACGTCTACCGCACCCTGACCAGCCATTGTTAACAGCATTTGTTCCAGGACGTGCAACAGAGGAATGACGTCGTTCATCCCATAGTCCTGCCGACTCACGAATAGCGTGGCCTCCTCAAAGGGCCTGAGCAAGCGGCAGGTGTCACGCATGAGCTGCCAATGGCTGACATCGAAGTTACACAGGGGAGTACCTTTATCCGCTTGTAACATCAGGAAATCGGTGATGGCCTTTCGCTGTTCGTAAAGGCGGTCTAACATGTGTAGGGTTGAATTCCACCTTGTTGCAACGTCGCAGATCAGGCGATGCTGTGGAATTCCGTTCTGCCGCTGCAGCTCAAGGAGGGTGTGCTTTGCGGTGTAGGAATGGCTGAAATGCATGCAAAGTTTACGTGACATTTTAAGGATGTCTTGCAGTGGGATGGTGGATTTTAGGAACCGCTTGACAACCAGATTGAACACGTGAGCATGCATGGCGCATGGCACAACCTTCCTTGACGCAGAGCAGACACCATGTTCTTTCCGTTGTCGGTCAACATGGTTCCGATTTTCAGTTTGCGCGGAGACAGCCATCTGTCGATTTCTCTGTTCATTACACTCAGAAGTTCCTCCCCTGTGTGACTACGTTCGCCAAGGCATACCAGGTGCAGCACAGCGTGACACCGTTGCGCCCTGCACATGTGATATGCCGGTCGGGTAATGGGACTTGGCACGGGGGTGGCGGCTGAGGACACGGCGGAAGAAGAGGTGGTAGAGGCGGACATCTTTTGTGGACCAAGGACGTGCAAACGTGGAGGCAAAAGCGGCGTGACCTGTCCAAGTTGCTGGTGCGGCTGTGCCGGCACCACGTTCACCCAGTGGGCCGTAAATGACATGTACTGTCCCTGACCGTAGTTACAGCTCCACACGTCGGCGCTGCCGTGCACTTTGGCAGAGACCGACATGCTCAAAGACTGGCCCACCATCTCTTCTACATGTGAATGCAGGGCTGGCACTGCCTTTTTGGCGAAGAAATGCCGGCTTGGCACTCTCCACCGCGGCGCGGCACAAGCCATCATTTCTCGGAAAGGTGCTGAGTCCACCACTTGGAAAGGGAGGGACTGCAGCACCAGCAACTTGGACAGGAGGACGTTCAGCTTTTGCACCGTCGGGTGCGTGCTCGCAAACTGTTGTCTCTTGGAAACGGATTCCAAGAAAGACTGCTGACGGAATCCGTGAAGAGGAGTAGCAGGAGAAGGAGCATCTGAACGAGCGGAAGATGCCAACGAGCGACAACTCCCCTCAGCAGAGGTGTTGGAGCCTTGACTGGCTGATAGAGGGCGATTGACGTCGGGTGACGGAGCAAGTAACGGAGCGGGTGATGGAGCGGGGGCTGGGGCAGGCAGAACCGCCGTATCTTTATCACGGTTTTCCCAGGCCACCAAATGGCGACGCTGCATATGCTGACGCAACGCTGTAGTCCCAACATGGGCCCCCTGGCCACGCTTGACTTTCTGGCCACATAGTCGACATACGGCTACGTTTACTTCCTCGGGCGGCTTGACGAAAAATTGCCACACCGCCGAGTAGGAAACTTTGCCCCCGATACTCCTCACTGGCTGACTGCTACTTCCTCCGTGCACACCGGCACCCACTACTGGCCGTGGTGGTAGGCTGCAGTGGAGCTGGTGCTCTACTCCGTGGCCGTTTGCCTCCACTGACACTGCTGCGACCCTGCTGCCTCCTGGGCAACCCACCGACTGTTTTGCTCGCTGCCAAGCTGCCACCCTCTTCTCCTGATGATGCGGAAGCAATAGCCTGATGACGACGAGGCTGCCAAGTGCGATCAGCCTCATCATCATCAATTAGGGTCTCCGCCTCACTACTAGCCCCCTCGGCTGCGTGTGGGTCAGGAGACAGACCTGTCTCTAGACCGGCTACCGAGCCACTCTCCTCGCCAGTACTTCTTCGCCTGGCTGCTGAAGAGGCGGATGTCTCCCCCCGTTCCTGACCGCCCTCTGTTAGCTCTTCCTCACTGTACAGTGGGGCTGAGCCCACAGCATGCGATACTTCGCTTGGTGAGGGAACACCAAAGGACAGGGGCAGGTAGAGGACACGTGATTTCAGTGGGCTTGCTCCCGGGCCATGCCAACTAACGGTTGTGTCTGACGTACCCACCGACCGTTGGCTGTAGGTGTCAGAGGTGACCTGGGAAGAGGAAGACGACCGAGCCAACCAATCGATGACGGCAGGGTTGTCGGTGGAGACACGACCGCTGGATGACACCGGGAGCACTGGCCTCTGGCTGCGACTAGTGCTGCCTCGACCCCTTCCTCTGCTGCCACGTCTGCTCGCTCCTAAAACATTGCCTCCTCTGCCACTCCTCTGCATGTTGTCTGACATACTCTTTAATTCAACGATTCTGTGTCCCTGAGTAACAATTCTGTGTCCCTCAGTAACAATTCTGTGTCCCCTCAGTAACAATTCTGTGTCCCCCTGAGTAACAATTCTGTGTCCCTCAGTAACAATTCTGTGTCTGTCCCTGAGTAACAATTCTGTGTCTGTCCCTGAGTAACAATTCTGTGTCCCTCAGTAACAATTCTGTGTCCCTGAGTAACAATTCTGTGTCCCTGAGTAACAATTCTGTGTCCCTCAGTAACAATTCTGTGTCCCTCAGTAACAATTCTGTGTCCCCTGAGTAACAATTCTGTGTCTGTCCCTGAGTAACAATTCTGTGTCCCCTGAGTAACAATTCTGTGTCCCTCAGTAACAATTCTGTGTCCCTCAGTAACAATTCTGTGTCCCTGAGTAACAATTCTGTGTCCCTCAGTAACAATTCTGTGTCCCTCAGT